TTCAAAAATTACAAAAAAGGTAAGAGCAAGAAAACAAGGAACCCAATCAATAGATGAGCTATTAAATGATCAAAAGGGAACATACAATTAGTTAGTAAATTTTCAGTACCACTAGATGTCAGAGAAATATAAATCAAAAGTACATTCCAGTCAGAGTTCCAGTCATCAGAAAGCACACAGCAAATATCAGCTGGACTGTGGAACCCTCATACACTACTGATGGGAATGTAAACTAGTATAATCTTTTGGAGACTAGAGTGGAGGTTTCTCCAAAAATCTGTCTTATGACCCAGTGATATTCATTCTTGGATGTTTACCCAGAGGTCTCTGAGTCATTGCATCACAGGGATACTCCTACATCATGGTTTATTGCGGCACTATCCACAATAGCTAAGTCATGGGGTCCGGCAGCAAGCAAATGGGTAAGGAACAGGTGGTGTCCGAATACAGTGAAATTTTTGTCAGCCCTAAAAAGAAAGAAGATACATACATTTTGTGTGGGGGAAATGGGTACAAATGGAGCAGATCATGTTAAGTAAACTGAGTCAGTCTCAGAAAGGCAAATATATGTTTATATGTTTTTTCCTTGCCTATGGTTCCTACAGTTTATGTTAAATCCTGTGTGCATCTATTAAGTGAAAGTAGAAGTGAGTTGTCTAAGAGGAGAAAAGGAATGGACAGGATGGGGTAGGAACAAGAAAAAAGTGGTGAGGCACAGGCTCAACATTCAATGTCTTGACTTTTTGAATTAAAGCTCAGTTGGAGAGCTGGGCAGTTCCCAAAGGAAAGTACAACCTTGCAAGTATGAGGCCCTGAGTTCAGACTTACAGAACTCCCTAATCTGGGTCATTTCTGGAGGAGTTTTTGTAGGCACAAAGGCTTCCTCTGCCTCCCAACAAAAGCTTCTCTTCCTTGAAGCAAGACTGTGGGAAACCACTGGGATTCCATGCCATCTTATCCCAATCTCTTCCATTTGATGGGGATTTTTCATTGCTTTTTTTTCCTCCCAGTTTACTTACATTATTTTGCAGTTTAGACCTTCTCGATCTTGGATTTCTGTGAAGTCACAGTTGTCACATGGTTTTATGACGTGCTTTGTGTTGTGAAGGAATGTCAGGAAAGTTGCAATTCACTGAATGCCAAGCATTCAGTAAAGGAGACATCCACCAAGGTGTGACTCAGTGTGAGCCTTCAGGGGAAAGTCTGCTGAGTCCAAGGAGAATATTCTATTCCATTTGTTTGTTGGTTTGTTTGCTTGTTTCAGATTTTTGGGATTGAAGCCAAAGCCTGGTGCATAGCATGCAAGCAAGCCCTCTTCTACTGAGCTATGTTCTCAGTCCTTCTTCTGCTTCTTGTCCCCATCCATACTGTCTGTCCTCCCCCTGAGGTTTGGACTTGTCTTCTGCAGGCTGCAGAGCAGTCTAGTATGTCACACTCACAGGACCATGTAGGCCAGATTTCAAGGTACCAAGCCAGTGTCAATTCATAGTGTTTGGTATAATGCTAGTTCTTTGGTATCAGAAAATTCTTGCATGTAAAATAAGTTTATCCACCCCAGTTCTACCATAACAGTGACAAAATGCTTTCATTGTAACAAATGGGTGTCAGTAGAGGACATTCAGTTAACTGTAAGAGACTTGGTTCCAGGAAACAAGCAGCACATGATAGCAGTCACCTGGGTGAGCGAATAGGATTGATAATACAGAAGAGTAGACTAGAACTGAGTGTGCTGTCTCATGCCTGTAATCACAGCATTTGGAATGTAGAGACAGGAGGATCACAACTTGCAGGCTAGCTTGTAAAGCAAACAACACCTGGGAAGCTTACCTGGGTCCAAGGGTAGGAAAAGGGGAGAGGTCACAGGGGCAGGAGGGGGTAGAAGTTCTAGTGATCTAAAGCTTAAATGGTAAAGACAGTTAACAGCAATGATTGTGTATCTCAAAACAGCTAGGAGGGAAGATTCTGAATGTGCTCACCATGATGAAATGAGAAAAGCCTAATTTTACCCGATCTTAATACAACATGCACATGAATCTTCACATTACAGGCTCCAGACAAATGTATTTATGGGTCTATCCATTGGGCCTCGCAAAACACAAGATGCACACAACTGGTCTAACTGAAAATAATGCAATAAAGGGGACTAGTATAAAAGAAGCCAGATAGGCATGGTGGTGCACACCTTTAATCTCAGTGCTTAGGAGGCAGACGCAAACAGATCTACATGAGTTCAAGGCCAGCCTGGTCTACAAAGCAAGTTCCAGGGCAGCCAAGGCTGCATAGAGAACAGCAAACAACGACAAAAATGAGTTAGCAGAGATGATAAAGCATCCAAGACTGACCACAGCAGTGTTAGCTAGTGTTTAGGACCTAGAAAGAATGAGAACAGATTATTGAACCTAAGAACACAGATGGCCATGTGAGAGGGTCTATGATCCAGTAACCTGGGAAAAAAATGAAGGGGGAGTCTCAGTCATTTCAAAACCACAGTCAAGGAGAATGGAGAGGGCAATCTAATTGCTAGTTTCCAGCCTGTCATGTCCTGCCTGAAGCCTCCCTCAGATGATTCATCCTGAGGCCACAGGGCCTCAAGGGAACCAACTGGACATCACCATATAGAAAGGGGCCCTGACAGGGAACAGCAAGGCAGAAACCAGTCTGGTGGTAAACAGAAAACCTCAGTCGAGGCCATTTGCTCTGTAAGGCAGAGAAACTGCCCAAGTTAGCCTCATACATTGTGTACAGGACAATCTCCCATGGCTCACTCCAAACATTACGTTAATTCAAAGATAGTAAGAGCTCTTCAGTTATAGTGCCTGTGGAGGCTAAAATGTACCAAGAAAAGAATGACTTGAAATGCCAATTAATTGCTTCAAAATGCTTTCAGAATTTTATTACTTTTATATTATGAAAATGAAAGTCTCCAATTATGTTTGTTTTCTTAAGAATTAACTTTAACTAAGTATAGTGAGTGTCTCATGCTTTTAATCCCAGCACATGGGAGGCAGAGACAGGCGGGTCTGCATAGTGAGTTCTAAGACAGCTGTAGTGACATAGTCAGAGCCTATTTCTTTTTCTTTTTCCTTTATTTTCACATTCCAACTGCAGTTTCCCATCCCAGCTCTCCTCCCTGTCCCACCCTGAGCCTCCCCTTTTCCCACACCCCATCCACTCCTCCTCTGTTTCTATTCAGAAAAGGGCGGACCTTCCATGGATATCAACCAAACATGGCATCTCAAGTTGCAGTCTGGACAAGGCAACTCAGTATGAGGAATAGGGTCCCCAAAGCCAGCAAGAGTCAGAGACAATTCCTGCTCCCACTGTTAGCAGTCCTACAAGAGGACCAAGATATAAAACTGTAATTAATATATATGTAAAGGGACTGGGTCAGGCCCATGCATGCAGGCTTCCTAGTTGTTGATTTAGTCTCTGTGAGCCACTATGAGCCCAGGTTAGTTGATTCTGCAGGTTTTCTTCTGGTTTCCTTGACCCCTCTGGCTCCTAAAATCCTTCCTTTCGCTCTTCCCCAGAATTCCCCAAGCTTCACCTAATATTTGGCTGTGGGTCTCAGCATCTGTTCCCATTAGTTGCTGGATGACAACTCTCTGATAACAATTGGGCTAGGCACCAATCATGTTTGTCTTTCTGGGGTCCGGGTTGTCTCACTCAAGATGATTTTTTTCTATCCATTTGCCTGCAAATTTTATTATGTTATTGCTTTTAACAGCTGAGCAATACTCTTTTGTGTAAATGCACCACATTTTCTTTATCCATTCTTCAGTTGAGGGGCATCTAGGCTGTTTCCAGGTTCTGGCGATTATGAATAATGCTGCTATCCTTGCGGTGAGATGGAGCACACTTTGAGTATATGCCTAAGAATGGCTTAGCTGGGTCTAGAGGTAGATCAATTCCCAATTTTCTCAGAAACTGCCATATTGATTTCCAAAGTGACTGTACAAGTTTGTGCTCCCACCAGCAGTGGAGGAGTGTTCCTCTTGCTCTACATCTTCACCTGAGCTGTCAATTGTGGTTTTGATCTTAGTCATTCTGACAGGCCTAAGATAGAGTCTCAGAATCATTTGATTTGCATTTCACTGATGGCTATGGATGCTGAACATTTCTTTAAGTGTTTCTCTGCCATTTGATATTCCTCTTTTGAGAATTCTCTGTTTAGACCTGTGCCTCATTCTTAAATTGAATTATTTGACTTTTTAATCAGATCACATTTCAAATAATAATATTAATAAATAATAATAATAATACAACTTGATAGAGCAAAGTAAAATAATTTCACTTTAAGTTTCCTTAGAATTCACTGTATATCCGAGAGTAAATACTTTCATGAAAAGGGATTTTTAAAAATATTTTAACTACATAATATTGGGCACCAGTGTGGGAAGGTTCCTCAGCTTGGAAAATCATCAAGCCAATTTTATTTTTGATGCCCTCTTTAGAATATCTGATTTTTTATACATAGCAATGCAAAACTGTATCTTTGACTCCTACATCCACAATTTAAACATTCTCCAAAGAGAATATTCAGAAAACAATGGCTGTATTGAACATGTTTACACAATTTTTTCTTGTCATTGTTCCCTAAAGAATACAACAAACCCCAGACTGATGGCTCTTTGGAAAGCATGGAACTGACCCAGACCTCATAAATGTGGGTGTCAGTGAGGAGGCCTAGGTAATCTATGGGGCCATGGGTAGTACTTATCTCTGGCATACAAATAGACTTTGAGTGCCCATGCCACAATATGGGAGGCTCTCTCAACCAGGACTCTTGGGGGAGGGCCTAGGCTCTGCCCTGAATGAAATGACAGTCACTGGAGATCCACCGTTGAAGGCCTCACCCTCCCTGGGGATAGGAGTGGAGATTGGGTGGGGGACTGGGAGACCTGGTGAGAAGGGGGGCTAGAGGGAGAGGGAGCTGGGATTGACACATAAAACAAGATTGTTTCTAACATAAATAAAAAAAGAATACAGCAAACAACTACTTACATAATTGCTTGTATTAGGGATTGCAAGTGAGCTAGACAGTGACTTCAAATATATAGCATGGTGTGTATATGGATTACACACACTCCATCCTTTTATATAAGCTTGGTGGAGCTGGGTATCCTCAAGGAATTCTGGAACCAGCCTCACAGATGATGGCAGACACCTCTTTTTTAATTATTCAGTCACCTAAGCTTGTTCAGCCATTGTGTATCTTGGAAGTCTTCAATTATGAAATTTAGATATTCTTGTTCTTTTCATCTAAAAAGAAAACCAGGATGTCATGCTGGCCTTGAACTCAAGACCCCTCTTCTCTAGCCTCCTGGTACTAGAATTCACTGGCATGTGCTACTGCTCCTGGTTTATGTATTTCTAAAACAGTAAAAATGTGCTTTTTTTCTTTTCTGCACTTTCTACCACATAATCTTTCAAACCCTCCATGAATGGGATCTTTTTAAATGTTTAGTTAGCAATCTGGATTAGACCTTGTTACTAGGAGACGCTTGAGGGGTAAAAAGGAGATAGAATGATCCTAGAAGGACAGCAGATGTTCCTTCCTGTGCTGGTTTGAAAGAAAATTTCCCCCCAAAAGGAGTGGCACTATTAAGAGATGTGGCCTTGTTGGAGTAGGTATGGTCTTATTGGAGGAAGTATGTCACTGTAGAGGTGGCTTTAAGGTCTCATACGCGCAAGCTACACCCAGTGAGACAGACTAATTCCTTTTGCCTGCTGGATCAAGATGCAAGAACCACACCATGTCTACCCACATGCTGCCTTGGGACCGCAATGATAATGGATTAAACCTCTGAACTATAAACCACCATAATTAAATGTTTTCCTATATAAAAGTTACTGTGGCCACGGTATCTCTTCACAGCAATAGAAACACTAATTGAACAGTTCCTTAAATGCCCAGACATTTATGAAGCATTCAGAGTGCACAAACACACAGTGTAAGTGGAGTTAGGATGGGAATGTGTGAATGGGCCAGCTTTTTTTCACAGACAGGACATTCTTGCTCAAGCTGTACAAGGCTCAGTAGACATCTGGATTACAAAACTGAAGCTGAAGCATCTCCTGCAGCTGGAAATTCTGGAAGGGACCATGGAAGGAATATCACCACTAGGTGGTGAATGCTGTTTAAGCACCAGGAGACATAAAGGCAAGATTAGAAGGAAGATAACAGAAACATTTCCATAAACCTATTCAAAGTTTTACTAACACAGATAGATGGTTATACAGACAGATATCTTTAAAGAAAGCTGGCACCTACTGTTATTAAGGAAGATGTGATTTATAAGGGGGAAAGTGGTTAAAACCCCATAGAACACATCCCTGTAGTGCCACCCTAAGGGTCCATTTTCCCAACAGAAAATATCCCATACATGGAGACATAAAGTTCTGGTGAGAGAACGTTGAAAATTGTGACAAGCAAAATATTGTATTGCTTGCACGTTGAAATGTACTTCAGGATGGCCTTAATCACTCTGCACACACCCCGCCCCTCGCCATGCCCCAAATTTGAGTTGTAGGACTCCAAAGGGAAAACCCAAAAGTGACTAAGAATTACTTGTGTTTTTTTTTTCTCTGAGTGGTCCACATAACAGGGTCTGAGCAGATATGCAGGACCAATAAATGATTCTATTTGTCATTGTACTATTGAGTACAAGGTAATGTTTCTATTGCTAGCAGGGGGTCATTTATGCACAGGCTCCTCAGAGTGAGCCTATCTTGATCGATCCAGTTTCCTGACCCCGGATATTTCAAACAGACAGACTTTGAAGGGACTTTCCTGCAAGGTTCCCTAGGATGGACTTCCTCAAACCCTACTATCAAAACCAAACCAGAAATCTGATTTCTGTTCCACCCCCAGTGGCAGGAATGATTGTGCCAGGTAGTATGGACTAAGTCCTGGAAAAGGGAAGGTTCTGTCCCCAGGAAACTATGCTTCATACGATGGCTGTGGTACACAGAGGTCCAAATTCCAGTGAGGCTGAGTTTCTGAGTCCCCTGTAGTCATTTTCAATGTTTAAGCACCAATTCATTCTTTGTGGTGCTTAAATTTATAAGAATAAGAGGTGAGAGGCACAGAATTTACAAAACAGGCAAGTTTATTTCTCGGTTCTTTATATCAAACCCGGGGTCTCATGCACGCTAGGCATAACTCCACCAATGAGTTACAAAATGGGAAGAGCGCATGTGGCTTCTAGTGAACTTTGCCAACCCACACCTTTTTAATTAACTTCTCAATTGGGTTGTAAATCCAACTCAATGCAGGTCCAGCTAATTCCTTAAGCAGCTGATAATGAATAATCTAGTGTGGCCGTCAACTGGATGTGGTTTGCTCCTAAACAAAGTCAAAGTCCTACGTCCCTAGAAAGGTAAGATTCCAGGAGCTGTGGTTTTAGGGGACAGTACCTGGCCTTTCTTGATGGAGCCTGGGCCCCAGACACATAACTGATTAATGTGGCTTAAGAATACATGGGAGGGGTGCTGGCTCACTCAAGCCTTGCTGAGTGACTATTGCAACCCTGATATTCTCAACCATGTAAACAGAAGAGATCCTTCAGCCCTTTCAACATTAGAAATAAAGTGTGAGCTCCAAATGCAGAAGAGGAAATGGCACAAGGAGAGATGAGAACTTACCTCCAGAAGGAAGATGAGAAACTTCTGGGATTGAAGAGAACACTGTCCTCACTTCAGGAGGAGCTGCTGTCTTCACAGTGACCAGTGGCACTGGCAGGAATGGCAGAATGACACTTATTAGCCATGGTTAATAAGAATAAGACTTTAATAGTGGTCAAGTTTGAGTTAATAAATATGAAGGCTTGATTGTGGGATAACTAAGCCTCAATGGACCTGACAGCTGGTCTAGACAGATAGTAAGAGCACATGCAGTAGATGTTTCCTGACAGCCAGCCTTGGTCTGCCAGAGGGCCTTGACAACAGCAGCCAAGTCTGATAGATGATGTGGACCCCTTGACCAGTGATCACATCAACTCAGTAGATGCCACTATGGGATTACTCCACAATTCAAAGAGATAAAGCATCTGCTTACAAGGTTGCTTAGATGAATCTCAAGAGAAAGATGCTAAGTGGGAGCTACGTGCATTATTTCTTTTTTCTTTTTCTTTTTTTTAAGAATTGTACCATTTTTTATTTAAGTTATAAACAAGTTTGTTTTACATGTCAATCAGTTCCCTCTTCCTCCTCCCCTGCACCCAACCAATGCCCTATCCCACCCCCTTTATGCTCCCCAGGGAGGGTGAGGCCTTCCATGGGGGATCTTCAAAGTCTGTCACATCATTTGGAGCAGGATCTAGGCCCTCCCCCATGTGTCTAGGCTGAGAGAGTATCCCTCTGCGTGGAATGGGCTCCCAAAGTCCATTCGTGTACTAGGGATAAATACTGATCCACTGTCAGAAGTCCCATAGATTGCCAAGGCCTCCTAACTGACACCCACAATCAGGGAGTCTGGGCCGGTCCTATGTTGGTTTCCCAGCTATCAGTCTGGGGTTCATGAGCTCCCCCTTGTTCAGGTCCACTGTTTCTGTGGGTTTCTCTAGCCTGGTCTTGACCCCTTTGCTCATCACTCCTCCCTCTCTGCAACTGGATTCCAGGAATTCAGCTCAGTGTTTAGCTGTGGGTGTCTGCTTCTACTTCCATCAGCTACTGGATTAAGGCTCTAGGATAGCATATAAGGTAGTCATCAATCTCATTATCAGGGAAGAGTGTTTAAGGTAGCCTCTCCAAACTATTGCTTAGATTGTTAGTTGGGGTCATCCCAAATCTCTGGGAATTTCCCTAGTGCCAGATATTTCTTTAAATCTATAATGGTTCCCTCTATTATGGTATCTCTTTTTTTCTCTCCTCCATTCTTCACCCAATTCAATCTTCCTATTCCCTCATGTCCTCCTCTCCCCTCCTCTTCTTCCCTTCTCTTTCTCCTAACTCCCTCCCCACACCATGCTCCCAATTAGCTCAGAAGATACTGTCCCTTTCCCCTTCTCCAGGGGACCATGTATGTCACTAATGGTTGATTTATGGCCAGAGGTAAATGTTTCAGAGGTGAAGGACACCAAGGTGGGGATGTTCTTGCTAATGTCTAGTCAAAATGCTCTCACATATAGTACACTGCTTGTCTCAGTTAGGGTTTCTATTGCTGTGAAAAGGCACCATGATCACGACAACTCTTATAAAGGAAAGGGGTGGCTTACGTTTTCAGAGGTTTAGTCCATTTTATCATCATGGTCCAAAATGGTAGCATGCATGCAGACATGGTGCTGGAAAAGGAGTTGAGAGTCCCACATATTGACCCACAGGCAACAGGAAGTGGTCTGAGTATCACACTGAGTAAAGCTTGAGCAAAGGAGACTTCTAAGTGATACACTTCCTCCAACAAGACCATACCTACTCCAACAAAGTCACACTACAGCACAAATAATAAAAACCCAGAAACAGATATTGGGGTTCAAGCTAAAGATCAGAAAAGCGAAAGAAGCCAATCACTAGAGAGTTCTCACTTCTACCAATGCTCAGACTGAAGGGGTGATTGTGTCCTCTTATTGCATCTCCAAACTTCACTGTTCCTCAGACTGCCTAGACTCTCAGCTATCCCAATAAGGCCACACCTCTTAATCCTCCTCAAGTAGTTCATCTCCCTGATGACTAAGCATTCAAATATATGAGCCTATGGGGGCCATTCTTATTCAAACTACCACAGGGGTTATCCCCCAAATCTCCAAAATGACAAGGGTAGACTGCAGATTTTTGCAACCACTGCTGAATATATCCCTCCCAAGTGCTAGCCATAATGCATTCAACCTGTGTGACATCAGCAAAAGTTTCTGCATGCTTGAGTGTAGCCTTAGATTGTCAACTCTTTCTTTTCTTGAGGCATTCATCATGAGACAAACATGATCACTTCCCAGGGTTAGAACAATGTGGGCACAATGTCTTCTAACCTTCCCACTGGATTCTGCTCCTTCAACTGCAAAATACCCCTAAGGAATATTTACCTCCCAACTCTAAATAACAAACCAGTACAGTTTCCAATGATAAAGAATGAATTACAATGTTTTTCCCCCATCCAAACCAGGATAGCTTCTGAAATGCTGGATCCAGTTTTGATATAGGTGAAGAGCAGAAGGAGGGAAAAACTCCCAGTCCCACAAACAGACTCATCATTTCAATCACCTCAAAAATCCTCCACATTTGCAAAGTTGTTCATCATTTTGTCCTGTCTATAAGCATGAAGTAGGCAGCACCAAAGAAGAAGCTTTTTTAAAAAAAAAGAAAGAAATCCTATATTTAATGGTGGTGCACTAGTCTGGGGCATTTCTTGCAAAATATTGGAAGGCGAGATATTAAAGACTAAAATTGGGAATTTCACACAGTCAACTATGAATTTCAATGATTCTTATTTCCCTTCCTCATAATAAAAATAAAATTGGTTGTGTAAGTGTGCACCTGGATTTGGTTATAAGTGTTCAAATCTTCCCCTCTTGGAAACACTTCACAACAATTTTAAGAAATATTACTAATACGGTTTGCCTGAAACTCTTGGCATTGATTCCTGGAAGAAAAAATTAACTATTTTGGATCAAATACTTAAAAAGTAGCAGCGCACACTCAGAGTCCTGTTGAGCAGTCTAGAGACCTGAAGAAATAGAACTGAACCCCACTCTGCCAGTTGGTCATGAATATGAATGTCGTGCAAGTTGTAATGAGAGTAACGGGGATTTCAGTACAAACTACCGTCTTAGTCGATTTGTTTTAAAGCACATTGCGAGGTGTTTTGGAATTCTTCCCCTGTGTCCAAAATCTTTTATTCCTTTTCTTATTCACTTCATCCTCTGGGTGTCCTGTCATTTTTAACTAAAGAGGTGAATCATAACACTTGATCAAGCATTGTCCCTCATGCTGTACAGCTAGTGAATCCAAGGGTGTATGAGAAGGAATAGCACATGATGAAGGGTGTCCAGGACCCCAGCATAGGCTGCATACATGTTCACACCTTTCCAGACACCAAAAGAGTTTTATAGTCTATGCTGTTAACAGTCCTCAGATATGTACATATGTTGTGATCCAAACCACATGCTCACTGTTTTCTAAAATAACAATAAAATGACAGAACAGACTCTTAGCTCAGAATATCTTGAGGTCATTGTGAAGGTTCTCCACTTGGAGAACTCAGGCCAGTTTAGGGTATAGTGGACTCAATGAAGCGGTTTGACTTGGGAAAGTTTCTAATGTCCTAATATTCATGGGAAGGAACATAATATAGCCTGATACCTTTCTGTGAAATGAAGCAAGATTTACAAAGTAGGCCTACAAATTTTAAGTTACTGAAGTAATAGTTGAATACCATAGCTACCAAAAAGAAATCCCTACTGACTTGTTCTAGGCCTGTTCTGCAGATTCTATGTCACAGACAATATGTTCAACAAAAATGAATGTGACTTTTATTACTGGAACGTACTCATACAACAAATTTGCAAGTCAAGGTATTGGTCTGTGATAGATACCCAAAAGAAACAATCTAAAATGGGAGGCTGGAGAAATAGCTAAGCAGCACGAGGGTTTACTGCTCTTCCAGAGGACCTGAACACTCAGATCAGAGGAGTTCACAACTACCTATAACCCCAGCTCAAGGAACTAATGCCCTCTTCTGGCCTCCACAAGCACCTGCACACACATAGACATAAGTGTTTTTAATTAAAATTAAAGTCTTAAAAGAAGTATAGCTTCATTTTGTTGTGTTTTGAGGAACCAGAGTCTGTGATCTAACTGTTCTGCTGTTTCTGGGCCTGTTGAAAAGCAGACTGTCCTAGAAGAAGGATCTATCAGAAAGCTGGTAATATCGTGATACCCAGGAACAGAAACAGACAAGAAAGGGGCAGAACAAGGGTTATCTTTCCAGGGCATGCTTTCAAGACACCTACTTCCTCAACCTTTTACATTCTGTCACCTCCCAACAATGCCATTTTATCATAATTCCATCAGAAGATTAGTTAATTGGTTAGGTCAGAGCCCTCATCATCCAAGTACCCCCAGGGGGACCAGGCTTCTGACACATGAACCTTTTGTGGGAATATATTATATTCAGCCCATAACGGTCAGTACTCAATATTTTAGAGAGCCTCCTCATGCTGAAAATCCATCACGATGAATTGCTTTTTCCAGAGAAATCTACATTGATTGTGGAAGAGGAAGAAAGACCCACTAAAGCTGAATATGCTCTGGAAAAATGTAATAATCCCCCTGCTTGGGAACTGGTACATATAAATGCAAAAGGAATCAGACAATAACTATTATAGCAATGGTGAAATCTTTATCTTTTGCATTTTCTGGGAAACTTGGCCTATAAAAATTTACTGTTTCCTAGCACCTTTAAAAAAACTGCTGATTTACTAATGAAAATAGAATCCAACTATAAGAATATCCATGACAAATATTCATTTCTCCTTGACATAAGGGATATGAGAAGAAAGCATAATTCCGATTCTGATCCCAGATGTGAAAAACAACTTGTGCAGTAGTTTTCCAACCCTGAAAGATATGGCATATTATACTATCTCACCCAGCTGTTCACAGTCATCCTATTGAGGGATCATACACCCCTAGTTATTGTCATGTAACTTTCAATGTCTCTCTAGAAGAGGGGGAAATACTTGGACAACACACATGACTAGCCTTGGACAACAGAACAGAAAATATACCATATCCATTCTGTG